TTCATTTTGAAATTCTAAATAACATCTCTTTTCTTATGGATCGGTGTGAGGATTGGTACTAACTCTTGGTTAACCTCAGGAGGGGTTAATTCAAGGTTAGACGGAAATTTATATTGATTTCTAAGTTTTCTTTTGTCGTCCAGAGTAATGCCATTTTTTAACATATAGTTCCATCTAGTAACTATTGCTTCATTTACTTCTGGAATTTTAGTAGGAATTTGCTCTGAATCATCGCCTAAAATTTGCATTATATCATCATCTAAAATAATGTCGTTTTCCAGTTGTAAAAACTGCTTCGTCGCACTCAATATTTTGTGGAGAAGTTATTCCTCTCAGTGAATGGTCTTCTGTAAAACCTTGCGACGTAGATCTGGGACTCCCTCGTCCAAATGCCGTTTCTCTCTGTAAACGGTCATCAGGTGAGCCTCTGCTGCGATGACTCGTAGAAGACCTGTCTTTTGGTCGATAACAATGACGTCTACGTTCATCGTCAGAGCGATCACGATCAAGTGAGGCCGGTGAAGCGGTATGTGAATGTCGCTTGTAATGGTGACGTTTCTTTTTTATTTTCCGTTCTAAACGGGATAAACGTTTAAGCAATTCTTTTTGAGAAATACTCGAATGATCACTGTCCTCACTATTTGATGATTTGTCTCTATTCCTTTTACCCATCCTAAAAATACCTGCAAATATTATATTAGTTTATACTAACTTATAAATTTGAAACGGTGATTGTCACTTACGACGCACGGCAAGGTGAAGGACGGGGGAACGTGTTCTGTGATACTTTAAATATTGTGGTCTGTGAGCAGCGCAGAGGCGTACTACCTAGTTTTCAATTAAGTGATATCTGAAGGACTGGAGGGAAATAAAATTTAAAGTTTCTGCGTTTCCATATTTTGTGTTGTTGACAAGAATGTTTTTTTAGAATTAGTAAGTGCTAGGTATCCGATAGGTTCGTTCTACTTGAAGAATACTATCGTGATAGCAATTTTGTATCTTCTGGTGTTTTCTACCTGGACGTTTCGTTGCCCTAGATAAAAAAAACTAAGGCCAATTGTCCACTAGCGTATGTGTGGGCGCATGTGAGCGGTTGCTCCTTAAGCATGCGACAATTGGGACCGCCACATATGTGTGGACTGAGTCTTGTACCTACAAAAATGCTAATTGCATGTGTGATGTGTGTTGTGTATTATGTGATGTTATTGTATGGTCTTGTATTGTGATTTTTTAAAATTATTAGTACTCGTATGTTCAAAAGTGTGTGAAGTTTAATTTAGAGTGTGGGGCAGCCAGTAGAAAGAATAAACTCACCCCCGTTCAATAAATGTGTCTTGCTCATACTGCTGTTGCACTTGGCGATTCAGCCGATTGCAAGCTCTGCTGTGGTCTCTATTGGAATCTCTGTTCCATCCAGCTATTCTTTTTTTTATCTCGGGTTATTCTATCGGGTTTACCAATGTGAGATCTTTAAAATTATTCATCCCATCATAAATAAATGGTTTTGCTAAGATGTATAAGGTATATTTTAATTCGAAGAAACAAAAAGACATGTCTTGTATATAAAATATAAAAGTCATAATATCATGATGATCAATAATAATTCTTAAGCAATCGAAGTTGCTTAGGAGATGAGTTTATCCTTTGTCATACTAGGACTGCCACAAATTGAAGGGTTAGCTAAAAAGTGTTAAGTGTGTGACATTTTAACGTATGTAGTGCAACTGAGGCGCTACAATATCTTCGTTCATTTTACGCAACGCTTCTTGTACATTATTACCTACATCCTTACAGGACTGAATTAAGCTATACAGGGTGTCCTTTAAAATGTGTCCCAAAATTCTCAGGCAGATTCCTTAACCAAAAAATGGAAAAAAAGTTCCTATAGACCTATGTCCTAAAGTGCCCCCTAAGCGAGCAACAGCCTCTCGAAATCATTTTTTTTATTTTGATTTTTTGAATTTTCTTAAAAATGGCAACAAATAAAAGAACCAAATTTTGGCTGTTAAATATGATCAATAATAGTGACCTTTTGACACCTTCAAAAAGAAATTATTTCGTCAGGGGTGTACTTGGGAATTTTTTGAAAATTTTGATTATTCATAACTTTTTTGTGTTTTTGGTAATGACTTATCCATATTTATTTTTACATTCTACATTGAAAACTACGTCAAAAAGGAATACTTGTTTGATCTCGATTGGAGCAGCCGTTTCCGAGAAAACATCATCCAAAGATATTCGTCCACTTTAGCTTAATTTTCAATTTTCCTAAATTACCTCGGTGAATCTCGTAAATAAAAATAACTTTTTTAGCTCTCTCTAAATAATTGTAGTTCAAATGTCGTGGTGGGACTATTTTTATTTAATAATAAGAAACGGTTTAAAAAAATATTTATTCTAAAAAAACAAATAAAAAAAAATTAAAGCAGATGCTCAATGTGGCGACCATTGGTTTCCACACACAAGCGCAACCGTCGCATCATAGACTGTCTTACACGAAAAAATACTTCAGGATTATTCCTAAGAACTTCGCAATGATGAAAAACTCGTTCTTCCAATTCTTCAACTGTTTCAACAGGACTGGAATAAACCAATGATTTTAAATAACATCAAACAAAAAAATCCATTGGATTTAGATCTGGTGAACGAGGTGGCCAGTTAACAGGACAACCTCTGCCAATTACTCTACCCTCAAATCTTTCGTTAAGGTGCTGTCTAGCTTCAAGGCTGTAATGTGGTGGAGCTCCATCATGCATAAACCACATGTTATGTCTGATTTGAATCGGAATATTATCAAGAAGCTCATGTAAGTTATTTTCCAAAAAAAGCCTGTATGCTGCTCCATTTAACCTATTCGGCAAAACAAATGGTCCAATAAGGTAATTATCAATAACTCCAGCCCAGACGTTTATTGAAAATTTATCCTGGTGGTGACGTTCAACAACCGCGTGAGGGTTATCTTCAGCCCATTCATGCATATTTCGAAAATTTATTATACCATCTCTAGTGAAACCAGCTTCATCGGTAAATAGCACTTTATTAAGAAACATTGCATCTTGATTACATCTTCCAAGAAACCATTCAGAAAAGATAACTCGCGGCTCATAATCAGTAGCTTTAAGTGCCTGAACTTTTTGAATGTGGTAAGGGTACAATTGTTGTTCACGCAAAACTTTCCATACCGTGTTACGTCCGACTCCCACTTCTGAAATTAAATGAGAGAATCTGTGTAGTGAATAGTTAAGAAAGAGAATCCATTGATTTGGGAAATCAGATTTTTTCTGCATAACGCAACTCTTTTCGATACGAAAAGTCGTGAAATGTAAGAGAAGCAATAACAAGTAAAAAAACTAGTTTTATACGATAAGGTACGGGGTAGCTAAAATAATAAATAAGTAATTACTTACCATTTGCTATTTTTCTGGTACTTGTCGATGGGGTTTCAGCTACCCTATCCAAAATTGCTTCTTCCAAAGCAGGAGTTCTCACATAATTTTGTCTTCCACTGTTACTAGAGTTTTTCTTAAATGTACCAGTTTCCCGAAGTCTATCGTCAATTCTAGAAAACGTCTTAGCGCATGGAAGATGCCTATTTGGAAAGCGCTCCTGATAAAGTCTGCGAGCTTCATTGGCATTTCCAGAAGCGAGTCCAAAACATAAGTGCATGTCCGTCATTTCGCCGAATGTGTAATCATTATTGTAGTTATTGTGAGCCATTTTAAACAAAATAATAACAATACAACGAATCGCACCAGAACACTTTTAGAAATAATGTTTAACTGAAGAAACATTTTTATCAGTGAGCGAAAAAAATTATCCATGAAACACAAAAACGCCAAAAAAATACATATTTTTACTTTTTTATTCTAAACAGCTAAATACAAACCTTATGGTCTTCATAATAAATAAATGGGAACTAAATTTTTAAATTTTATTTAGAGAGCTAAAAATAGTATACAGGGTGATTGATTAGTGTGAGGAAGCTCTGTAGATCTGTTATAATAAAAGTAGGCAGCTTTAAGCTTCACATTTTAAAATTAGTTACGATGTGACAGGGTGTTTCATAAGGCCGTGCCAAATCAAAGTTATGTTTTTTAAATGGAACACCCTGTATATTTTTATATTTTTAGAATCTGCTCGATAATCTGATTTCAATGATATATCACACTTGTTATCTAATATGAATAGTAAAGGATCTACAGCTACTCAAAAATCACATTTTTTCAAATTCAGGTGGCTGTTGTAGCCAAACAGTTGGAAATCGAGGAAAACGGCTTACAGTCCCTATCCTAACTTTTTAAGGTCTATTCAGTGACATAAAATACATATTATTTGATACAGGGTGATCAAAAATCCAAAATCACATCCGATTTTTGATCACCCTGTATCAACTAATATTTTTTGCCACTGAATAGACCTTCAAAAGTAAGGATAGGGACATGTAAGCCGTGTTCCTCGATTTCCAACTTTTTGGCTACAACAGCCAAAATTGAAAATTAACCTAAACTGCACGAATATCTTTGGATGATGTTTTCTCGGAAACGGCTGCTCCAATCGAGATCAAACAAGTATTCCTTTTTGACGTAGTTTTCAATGTAGAATGTAAAAAAAAATATGGATAAGTCATTACCAAAAACACAAAAAAGTTATGAATAATCAAAATTTTCAAAAAATTCCCAAGTACACCCCTGACGAAATAATTTCTTTTTGAAGGTGTCAAAAGGTCACTATTATTGATCATATTTAACAGCCAAAATTTGGTTCTTTTATTTGTTTCCATTTTTAAGAAAATTCAAAAAATCAAAATAAAAAAAATGATTTCGAGAGGCTGTTGCTCGCTTAGGGGGCACTTTAGGACATAGGTCTATAGGAACTTTTTTTCCATTTTTTGGTTAAGGAATCTGCCTGAAAATTTTGGGACACATTTTAAAGGACACCCTGTATATTTGTCCGTCAGACTTTCTTTTTTTCGTGTTAACTTCTCTTCTTAACTGATTTACCCTAGTTGGCGTTGCTATCGAACGTGCAACAGAAGTTGTTGGTTGAGTCAACCTGGACTGGCTTCCTGAAGAAGGTGTTGTCAATGTAGAAGGAGTTTGAGTATCGTCATTGTCCATATATGGCTCGCTTTCTATAAATTTCTCTAGAAATCCATCTTCATTGATGAATAACTCATCCCAAACCTCCGAAGATGAAGACTTCATTTGGTTTGAGTATGTTTCCTTTGGTCCTAAAAAAATGGCACTTATAATTTAAATACGAAAAATTGATTTTAGTATAATATCAATTAGTTAATACTTTAATAAATAACTTTCTCGTGTCAATTTCTGAATCCAAAAAACTTAACTTGTCAAAGTTTTTTGAGCGCCTGACCCAAAAGACACTTGGACCTTATGTTGGTCAAAAGGTACTGGCCATTAGAAACTAAAAAAATATATATGTAAGCTTGTTTTCTGTTAGTTACAAAATGTTTTCCAACTTGTCATATGTAATACTTGCGAAATCGATTCCCATCTATTTTCCACTGCCACTTTGTCTTTATAATTATGGTCTCTTTTTTCTCACAATTGAGGAAGTTTACATATTAAATCTATTAAAATTTCTTCTCTAAAACTCATTGCAAACACTCTTATAATAGAAAACAATCGAAAACAAAGGACAAGGCACGCACAGATCACAGAACAATAGAACTTATAAAAATATTACAGAATGACATGTCACCAAGTGGAAGCAAAGGCCTCTACGATTCTTTGTTTTTTGTTAGAAAGTAGATACCTCAGGGGTATTATCGTATACAATTGTTTAGATTCTAATGATCTGTGAGATATCAAATTTTTAATTTTTAAGGACACCTGCACAATTTTGAAGTAGGTTTTTTAAAATGTTTGTAATCTTTTAATATTATAATAAAACTACACTATCTGTTTTTTTTTATATTTAAGTACCATAAAGAGAATTACTTATATTTTTTTACAATTGGTCAACACTTTGAACAGAACCAGCCGTATTCTGGAATTTCAATAAGTCCTTCACAGTCTAAATGAAACCACTTGATATTACAATCATCATTGTCGCATTGTATCATCGGTCTTCCATCATCAGGTTTTACACAGTTACATCATGTTTAAATCTTTGCTAAACCTTCATTTATAGTAAAATACCTACTCAAAATTTCTGGTTTTATTACAAATTTATGGAACTCGATTGATTTTTTTAAATTTTGATGACAAAATTCTTCATCGAAATATATTCTGTCAATCAATATTCTATTTTTTGACCAAATTACAAAATCACAGTAGCTCAATTCTGTTACAAACATCTGCAATTGTACCCGATAAAAATATAGATGATTACGGTCTAAAGAATAATTATCAGGACAGTTTGTACTAGGCATGAACTTTTCTTTTTAACATATTCTTCCAAAGTTAAATCCTGCAATAAATAGGGACACTTCACTTCAACACATCCTGGATCATGGCATGTACATGAAACTAATCCATCTGGTGAAGCACCAACCTATTAATAAATTTTAGAAATAAAAAAGCCTGAAGTATTCACTTCAATATTTTCATGGTATTTTTTCAATATTTTCCATATAATTTTGTAGAGCAGTACTTTTATTTTTAATGCCATGTGTGGTCTGTTTAGAATAAAATATTGTTTTTGTGGATAACATATACCTTTAATTAATGAAAGGGGTGGCTTCCCTAATTTGGCTCTAGAAGCAGTGATTCGGCGAGCCCTAAACTTAAACCAGGCATTGCTTTTAGTTTGGCCTCGAGTTGCTTTTTCAATTGTCTTCACACCATTTTCATTTATATTAATATATGTGGCCTCTGATATCTTTAGTATTTCTTCATATGTTTTTAAAAGTAACTCTTCATTAAAAAGATCTTGCAAGCCACTCAGAATCTGTGTTGAAGGTTTCATTATTTCCGTTGCAAACGGTTCCCTAATCCTCCCAATAGCTGATTCAATTTCAATATTTTGGAGCTCTCTTATTAGAACATTTAGTTTATCTTCTTCTATAGGTGTACACATTAAGGCCGATTTGCTTACTGGTTTTGTTGTTTTTTTTTTGCCCAGCTCATATCCAGTATGCTCATCATTTCCACACGTTTAGCAGCAGTTAACAACTCAGTACATGAATTTTGGCTGCCACCACCAATAGGACGTGCTTCAAGAAAAAAAAAGTACTGCTGCTATATGGCTACATACTTCACCCAAACTTGCACCATCAATAATAAAAAATCCATACAAGAAGAGATTTTTCATACCTTTTTTTGAGAATGCATCACACGTAACGAAAATTTTAAGTAAAAATAATGCTTTTTATAGAATATAGTATACCTAATACAAATATATAAACTAACTTCCTTTTAGCCAAAACCTCTTGGACATACCCAGCTTCATAACATTTAAAAGCTTGCAGTGATTTATAAGCCTTCTACTGCTGCCCAGAATAAAAACTATTGGTTAACACAAGATAGTTCATTAAGTCTATTAAGTTGACTGACGACAAGAAACTCATATCTACAGGTAAGTCATCATGCCTCAGGCAGTTGGGATCAATATTGTCTATTATTTTTAGTTTTACGTCACCACCAAGAGAACAATAATACTCACTATGAAACATTTTTGTTAAAAAAAACAGCGTTACATACGTTAAGTTTATATAAAAAACAATAGGAAAATAAATTATGTATGCCCCTCAGTGAATGTCAACGTCATGTCAAAACCACGTGACCTGAAATGGTCTATATGTTTGCTTTTATATTTTTTAGGTGGACTATTTTCCACTTTTTTTTTTTAAGTAGTTCAAGCAACAATCAGCCACTATTTTTATTTATTCAACGTGTCCCTAGGCGATTTTAAAAGCAGACGGTTTCTTAACGTATATACCAAATGCACGTTCTTTTTCCTGTTACCCTAAAAATGGGAAAGGGTGTCCGCGCAAATATGTTCATTTTTCTATATGACTATCAGTGATCCTTGAAATTGAATAGAGATTGTCGTAACCAGTACATATCATTAATTTTTTTGACACAGAATGGCAACATGATAGTGATTTTTCCTAGACAACACAAAATATGCTTAACTTCACAAAAAGGCTTAGTCTCATAATTAGCAGCGTTTTTCAATAAATTAGAAAATGGAACTGACTTACGGAAATGCAGACTCATTGATTTTTTAATATCAGCCCAGCTTGAATCATAATCCACATTTTCGTCATACCATCGACGAGAGTTGCCTCGTAGTCAGTCGTCCAGAAATTAACCGAAGAATAGTATCATCGTCCCACTGATAACGTTCTGCTAAACTATCCACTTTATCCAACCACTTATCCACAATCATATCATCCCGATTTGGGTCAAATATCGGTACTAGCAGTTCGTCCCCCGTACGAATGCCCGTCGAACGCCTCTTTAATTCGCTTAATTCTTTTCTCAAACGTTTTATTGTTCGTTTTCTCGTTGATCTATTGTCCGAAGAACTAGAGCTCGAATTTGAACCGTCACTATCACTACTAGTCGAAGACGAATGTTCTCTACGGTAACGTTTTTTAACTTTTTCGCCCGTAACTTTTTTCGATTTAGGTTTTCCTATGACTAATAATTTTCAAACTGTACCGATAAAAAGTTTAACTGATTTTTAATATTATCCCACCGTTGCTTTGTAAGAAATAATATAAACTTTATTAAAATGGCTGCTTCCTAAAACAAAACGAATTCTACTTATAACCAAACTTCGTCGAAAATTATTAACAACTACTGAAAAAATGACACATGACATTAATAAACGAGAGACAGGTGACAGTCAATACTACCAACTATAACAGTATTATAACATTTGGGAATTGGGATTTGCATTTTATGATATAATTTCTTGCTAATGAAAAATATTTGTTTTTCATTCATTCTTGTGCATAAAAAAAGAAAATGTAATAATAAAATAGTTGACGATTGAAGATAAATTAGGGTGTTTTATTTTATTGAAAAAATACTTTCAGATTTTCATTATTATTTTCCTTGATGTGTGAAGTCCAATCAAAACTTCGCTGGCGCTCAAAAAACAGAAGCTTATAGTCTGCAAAGGTAAGAATGAAAGATAACTTTATGTTAATTAAGAAATCACGACGAAAGAGCTGCCGTTAGCTGTAATTTGTTCCTAACTGACTGCATAAAAAACAGAAGAAAAAGAATACGTTACAATATTTCCGTATTTTTACCAGTATGGATAATAAAATCAAGGATGTAGCCCGTCTCAAAATCGACCATAACAAAAATTTTTACTTCAAACCGATGTCTTTTTGAAGGGATATATTGCCGAAATGATAATCATCCCTTGAAAAGTAATAAACTTTTATCTATTACAATGTTTTGAAAAGAGTAAAACGAATTCTTGAAGGTCGAGCGAAAATGATCGACAATTTTTCTAATTTTGACGAGACGTCATTGACATTGGAATTATCGGCAAAATGTAGGAACTGCATTATCAGGAGATATCGATCCGTGCCATTATCTGTGCACAAAAGGGAGTCTCTATAAGTTCTTATACCAAAGGTCTTTAATTTGTTTTTTTACTAGTGGCATAAATAAACAAATTCTCCAAAAAAAACATAAATTTCATCTAAAGTTACAGGTTTATAATTTTTAACTGCTTTTTCTGGTTTATTTTCCACAGCCAGCATACACCCTGAAGTAAACACCTGAAGCTGAATACGAAAACATCACTGACGTTGCTGTCTTTGATGTGTCCATTACCTTCTCAGCTCTCTTAGAACTCCTGCGAACCACTACTTTTACACGGCCAGGGTCGTCCGTAAAGTTGGTTTCGTCATAGTTGACGATCGCCTCAGGTAGAACATCCTTCAAGCTCTCTGTTAAAATATTTATTAATTACTTCCGGAGAAACTGCCGCCGCCCTACTCTCTTTAATGGATTGCGACAGCCTTTTCGAAAGTTCACATTTGTGTCGAGGCAAATATTATTGTAGCCAGGTTTCGGCAATGCTTATCACATTAGCCAGATGAGTTTCTTCTTCAACTGATAAGGCCGGTTGGGCCCCAAACGATTTTTTGTGCAAGCCATTAACTTTTCGAGATAAAGTTATGTAGGGAATTTCGAATTGTTCACTTAAATCCCTTAAGTTACCACCCTGTCTATATAATTGTAACAATCGCACCATCGACCTGATATCGACCCAAAGTGCGGAATGGTTAGAGTTGGGAACTCGCGTTTAGAAGTAGCCTCATTGGAGCGGTCACTGGAGAAAAATAGCATTATTGTTGTTTTTTAACAATTTCCTTCCGTGAAACAAAATTATTAGTGAAAACCTTCTTATAATAAAAATAATAATAATAATAATAATAATGTCTTTATTATTTCTATAAAAATACAAAACAAAATATAATTATTTTATAATAAAACAAAATATAGAAATAATGGGCGAAGTTCATCCTTTGTAAATGTTTGATCATTTACAAAGCATGTTCTACCACTTAACCCTAATAATTACCTATAGCAGGATTAAGTACAGCTATTAAGTAAAATGCCGCTATCATAAATAAACCAATTCATGATTCAATTTTAACTATAATAAGGGTTTAATTACAATAATGATTATAATTTTAAAAATAGGTTAATACCTGAAATATTAACATTCCGTCTGGCACAAAACCATCCTTACTCCCGGCATGCAATATTGTCAATCTTCTACATTTGCTCATTGGAGTTTTAAAATTGTTTTTGCCACCACTCCATAATTTTGAATGTGTAAAAGTACATTGTAAATAGGTCTCATCACAATAAACAATAGGCCTGCCCTCTTGTCGATAATGCATTAAGGCCTTTAAATAATTCGTTCTCTTGTTTCTGATGTCGTAGGATTCCAAAAGGACGGATTTATTGTCTTCACTTTTCTTCCATCTGCAAAAATAAAAATTTCGTGTTTACATTATTTATTTATTTAATTAAACATCCAACGGCCAATAGCCACTTACAGGATGAGTAGTAATACAAAAAACTTAGAAACAAAAAAAAATAAAAATAAAAACAAGAAAATAATTTACATCAATGACATGAATAATATAAATACATAATAATTGAACTGAAATTGTGTGGGTACCTTGAAAAAACTCTCGGTGAGAGAAAAAAGCTACCCACACAAATCAGTGCAAATAGGGGAAAATAAGAATATATGTAGAAAATCAATTGAGCGCAAATTAAAAACATAGTTACGAAACAAAAACATGAGTGCAAAGAGAAACCTAACAAAAAATATTTACAATTACGAAAATAATGTTCTAATTTTATTTATCGAAGTACAGAATATATCGATATCCGAGTAGTTATTTACCTCTGATAGCATACTGAATAATGGTGACCGACACAGCACATTAGTTCTAGGAATCGGAAGTGAAAAGGTTTGAACATGCCTTGCAGCGAGTCTAGGGATGTAAAAATTAAGTTGACTTAATAATGTTGAACATTTGATGCGATTATGTACTAAGTTATGAATAAAAATAATGGCTGATATAATCCTTCTCGTGTGTAAACTTGGCATTTTAAATAATACTAATAGTTGATCCTGGGGAAATCCTCTTACTGGATACGTACCATAAAAACGACAGTGCAAACTTTTTAAAAATCGACGCTGAACTCGTTCTAACGCTAAAATCTGAACATTAGTATTGGGAGACCATATAACCGAGGCGTATTCCAACTTGGACCTGGTGAGAGCACAGAACACAAGCTTGCAGGTCTCCACATTATTAAAATCTTTTATCGATCGTAAAATAAAGCCCAAAATTTTGTAAGCAGATGCAGTAATGTGACTCATGTGATCCGCAAAGGTTAGTCTGTGATCAAATATAACGCCAAGGTCATTAAACGTATCAGGTCTATTAAGAGTACTACCATCTAAGTTATAGTCATAACGGATAGGACTTTGTCTACGAGTGTATGACATTGCATTGCATTTACCAGCATTTAGCATTAAACTATTATTAGAACACCATTCGGAAATTATAACAAGATCAC